CTAAAAATCATTACAATAATATACCAAGTAAAATTAGTCTAATCCAATCCAAATTTAAGAAATCAGAAAAATAAAAACACACCCACACAAAAATACATATATACATACAAAATTTATATAGAGAGAGGAACCAAAAAAAAACTTTGAGACTAACTTGGATTGCAGTGTGTATAAAAATCCTCTACATCGATGAGAAAAAAGTGATTTATTAGGTCAAATCAATACAGGTGTACAATGAAATAAGGGATTTTTTTTTTTTATTTTTTTTATTTTTTCGGAAGTTACATTGAAATAAGGGATTGTAAGGATATAATCTTTCTTTGTTTGTGAAACTTTTCTCTCTATACTCTCTCTCTTAGGAGAAAAAAGGGCAAACGAATTTAAGTGGGGAACAAGACAAAACAAAAAGGTCAAAAGTGTGGATGAAAAGCATTAAATTAAACGACAGTGTGAAAATAGGTAATTTAAAACCAAAATATAAAATGTCTATCAAAACAAAAACTTTCAAAAAATAAATTAACAAAAATAACTCTCTTTATTTACCGAAAAGAAAAAAAAAAAAAAAACTGAAAAAAAAGTAACAATTGAAAATTTAACAAAACAAGAATTTTTGTTGATAAAAAAGCACAAACAAACAAATTAATAAAATAAGAATTTAGATTCTTCGATCATTCTTATTTGTTGATATTCAAAACTTCAAATGAAATTTTTGTTCTAGATTTTGTAAAAATTAATTTCTTATAGAATTCTTATAAAAGCATTACAATAAAAATATATAAAAAGAAAAAAAAAATGATGGAAAGAATCATGTATGAGATGGAATTTTAGGATAATAAGATTATGGAAACAATCTTGATTGAGTTAGAAATTAAGATTTTAAGATAGTCACGTTATGGAAAGAATTGTGTTTGAGTTGAAATTTTAAAATAACCGTATTAAATTTTTATATGAATCCGTTTTTATTGGGGTTCTATAGTCGTCAATTAAATTATTTTTCTTTAAATTATATATAAATTTTCTTTTGTTAAATGGTAATTAAAGAAAGAATATATATATATATATATATATATATATATATATTTTCCTTAGGCCCAGTACATGCTATACTATTTTTATTTTTACTTATACTAAAAAAAATTCCAAAAAATTAGGGGGCCATAGCCACACCCATCCTAATCATGGGCACCTATCAGGTGCATTTGCTATGACACTCTATGGAGGCCTACCCATCATATTGACTCTATTGCCAACCACATCACTTCATTGGCCTCACAGCTCATTAAAATCGAACTTGTACATCCTGTTCCTTGCAGCTGAGTATCTTCTCGTGTAAATTGTAAGAATGTTGAGATTTCTATAATTGATGTCATATAAAGAAAAACAAAAACTAAATGCTTTCTTTAAGGGCACTGTTGCTAGGGTTTCGGATGGGGGGTTGGATATGAAGATGGAGAGAGATTTGCTTTGTCGTGAAGAGAGAGAAAGATAGCAGATCGTGTTGTAAAAGGAAAGGAAAGAAAAAAACAAAAAAGAAAGAAAAAATGATTTAACCTGTAAGAGCATCTCCAATGTTAAATGCCATTTCGGGCTGCCAAATTTATATTTTGAGAGGAATTACAGTGTCAAAATACTATATTTTAGCAATTTTGCTCCAATGTTACATTCCATCCAAAATGCTATATTGTAGCAATTCTCACCTTCTATTAAACCAAGTCCAACCCACTTCTAGCTTTCTAATCCTACTTTAACTCTGATTGTTGATTTCGAAATTACCTTCCCATCTTAACCATTCATTGCATTATGTCCCACATAATATTTTTAGGGCAAATCATTTCAGCCTCCCCAATCGCCTCCATCTTTGTTCTCGTTCTCGACTCTGAACTTGCCATCTCTCTCTCTCTCTCTGCAACTGCAAACCACAAAATCTACAAGAATTAGAAGTTCAAAACCCATATATTTCAGTTTATTTATCTGTCAAATTAGGGTAAGTGAGGCGGCTGAGAGCAGATCTGAGGCAAAGCCTTACGCAAATGGGTTAGCTTTGCCGGTTGCCTCTCAATCAAAAGGCAGGGAATTAGGGAAAAAGAGTCAGAGTCAATTGTGAAACTTGGATAGTTTGACTCGGGGGTTTGGATCTCATCCTCTTATACAGGCACACACCCATACTATGAACCAGCAGACCGATAGAGTTCTTTAGTTCCTACCTTAGGGAATCACTAGTGAACGGAAGAGAATAGGTCTGAGCAACGGAGGGAAGCTAGCTATAGCCCCAACTTACAGCTGATCATCAGCCACTGAGCTTTCACCCTTCCATGTCGATGTCGAGTTCTTCGAGATCAATGGAATTCCTGCTGTCAGCTCCTAACATTCCAAAAACAGAGGGTTACTTACTGACTCATCTATGCGCACAGATGAGCGATCCCCAACTATTTTTTGTTAAGTTTGCTCGATTGATTATCGCGAAAATGGGGATGATGTTTTCTAAAAATCTATGGATACATATATGTTGTAATTGTTTGCTTCCCTACTCCACCCATTCCACTGGTTTTCAGTGTTCTCTCTCTTTTCTTATTCAGCTTCATCATCTCTTTTACACACACTCAAACACACACACATATGTATGTATATATTGTTTATATTTTAGTATATCTATCTGTCTGCAAGAATCAAAAGTTCAAAACCTATTACCTATATTAAAACCCATATTGGCATATCATTTCAGAGTTCACTGTTCGCAAAACCCATATCGGCATATCATTTCAGACTCTGAACTTGCCCCCCTTTCTCTTTCTGCAACTGCTAACTCTCAAGCCGGATCTGTAAATGCCATCTTCGACCATAGAGAAATTGGAATCATTGAATTGAGAGAGAGAGAGATTGAAGTTAGATTTTGTTTTGAGAGTTAGATATACAAACACACACACACACACACATATATATATATAGAGAGATTGATAACAGATTTTGACGGCAATCGGAAGAGGGGACAGGAAATGCACAGAGATAAAAGCCGTTCCAAACGGCGTCGTACACAGAGAGAAAGAAGGCCTACCAAAAAATTTGGCAGTTCTTATATTTGAGAAAAAATTTGGCATTCTCAAAATTTGAGAGCCCAAATGTAAGCCCATTGGAGAACCCACTTTTTACACCTCTCTCAAATTTTGAGTTTAGCAGCCCAAATGAAAGGTGCATCGGAGATGCTCTAAAAAATGTGCCCATCTTTAATTGTTTTTATTTTTTAGACACATGTTCCAATGACATTGGACCACATCATATGGAGGATGAACTTCATCCTCCTATATGGAGGACCCAAGCATTGTCCATAATTTAATTCTCGAATGTCTATATTTGTTTCACTAATAAGAATTTATTGTTGTTTGGTAACTTATTTCGCTAGTTATGAATAAATTAAGTGTGTATTTGATTAAGTGTGATTGATGATACAATTTCAACATTATTTAAAAATAATGAATTAATTCCACACATTAAAAACTTAAAACTCAAACAAGTATAAGAAAAATTCTCAATTTCTAGTTAGCGCTTTAACTTTAACTCTTAAAACTTCCAATGTTTCAGTTTTATCAAAACAATGCTTTAGTCAATTTGATAATATTTACCAATCAATTAGTTCATGATTATCAATGTCTTTTGTACTTCTCTCTGTTTTATTTTTGGATGGTTGATTGGATGACTCAAAAAAAACTGCACAACAATTGATTTTAAAATTTTGAGCAACTTTAACTTATTTTAGAGAAAATAAGAAAAAAAAAAAACTATAACCGAAGAGTGTTTGGCTGTAGAAAAATATGTATCATACACCTGAATTCAGATGAAAATTTAATTTAATTTTTTATTTTTTTTTCGGTAATTCATTTTGTTAAACCAACAAGGAAGCTATACAAAAGAGGAGAGGCCCAAAACCAACAGCCCACAATCCCGAAGTCTAAAAGCCCAAAGGCCAACAGAAAACCAAGAACAAAAACAGCCCAAAATTCAAACTGTCAACATAAAAAACCAACTGAAGAGACAGAGCCGGAAGGACCCTGAGAACAGAGCGAGCTACTTATCCACAAACACTCTGCTTGGAAGACTCCAAGCAGGCTAAGCAGCAGCGATGGTTCTGGACTCCATACAATCACGGAGATTACATGTATGAGATTAACTTACTTCGAACACAATTGTAGATAGTCTTCTTTAATGTGGCTGGGGATGCTTGCTTATTGCAAAAATGGCGCCTATTTCTCTCCCTCCATAGAAGCCATTTAACAAGAAATGCCTGAGTCATCCAAAATTGGGGAATTAAAGGTTCTACCAATTAGATAGAAGAAACCAGAATGGAGTTTTATCATAAATTTCTTCGATGATTACAGGAGACATTCATAATAGAAGATAAGAAAATAAAGAAACAAACTAACAGTAGAGAAAGCAAATATGGAAACTTAAGACCTATATTTCTTAGCAATTCGGAAGCTAAATATTAGCTTCTTATTTTAAAATTTCATGATCAATAAGTACAGTAACGTCATTGATGATTAGATGTATATAAATTGTATTAATTATACGGGGCTCTCATTCATATTCTCAAATATGTTCTTCCAAAATCTTCAAGAGGTGGTTTGCAAGAGCTGCATAGCTTCACCTTTTGGTGATTTGGTGGTGACCCGGAGCCTCATATATTCTTGAAAAGTAAAAGGAACAAAGAGACGAGGGTGTTCAGAGTCCACTAGTTCAGGTGGTGCTTCCATTTTCCCCTCCTTGGGTCCCAACACAAAGCAAGCCATTGATGTTCTTATTGCTCCATCGTTGCATTGTACTCTATGCTTCACGTTGAAAAATCTTCCATTGCTCCATGCCTGTTCACATCATTAGACAGTGAAAAAAATTATTATTGGATCAAATTACTGTAAAACATATCCGGTTTGCCTAGCTAACAAATTATCAGATTCAGATTGTTAATGGATTTTCCGATCCATGCATTTACAAAAGAAAACGTGTGCATTTTGCATATATAGGGAGCTATGGTTCCACCCCACATAAAGAGAAACATTTTCTTGTAATCCAAACAGCCGAAAATTGGGTGGCCATTTTACTAACCATGCCAAGGTCTCCGACATTGACAAGGAGGGTTCCTGGCATTGGATCGACGGGGAAAAGTACACCAGACTTCTTGTCTACAGCTTCCAGACCATTAACTATTTCATCATCATGTACTACTGTAAGAAATCCAGGGTCTGAGTGCATTGGAGCTCCAGTTAATCCTACAGTTTGAGGACTGAAATTGTATTTGTTTAACCTAAATCTGCATGACCATCCCTTGAACAAATCACTGCATGAAAACCCCATACTCTCTCCCAATCTTCTTCCTATTGTCATGGCCAGCTCATGTATCGATTCAGTGTACCTCATTATCGTCTCCCTGTAAAAATGTTAGACAACCATATCACACAAGTATACCGATATATATACATATATACATATATATATATATATATATATATATATATATATATAGTTTCAATGAGAGTTGATAATTAATAACATCTTTATATGGGATTAAGGCAAGGGAGATGATATTGGTTGCACGTACCTTTGGTGAGGAGAAACATGAAGGTGAGAGCAAAAGGCATGGACAGCCCCTGGGGAGGCCATGTCATAAACATCCAATCCCTCAATAAGAGGATTGGACTCTTGAGGTGGACTGTACCCCTTGCCGTCCACGGCCTCATCGTACCGACGTTTGGTTTCCGCCGGGAGGTCGAGGAGAGATCGTGAAATGGACTGCATCTCAGAGAGCAAAGTGACAGGAATACCGTGGTTGATGATCCTGAAACATCCCCACTCCTCACATGCAGCTATTAGTTTCTCAGATTCTCCTGGAAACTCTTGCATATCAATCACTGGCATGCAACATGTACTAGCCATTGATGAATTTCTTTTTCTTTTTCTTTTTTATATATCTTAGTTTGGCTATATATGCTATGTTGGCTATATTCTTCATTTCGTGGGATATGCATTTCTTATATAGATCCCACCATCATGCATGAGATCGAACTTGACAAATTATTATTCATTTCATGTGCACATTTCATAGTTTTTTCTTGACTTTGAAGCTCAAGATCGACATGTTGTTTACCAGCCTACACTCAAAAGTAACGTCACGGATGAAGTAATAGCTTGTTCTAGAATAACATTAATTTATCCTTGGTATGTGGAAGTAAGGAATACATATAATACATATAAGTGATGAAAATCGATGATGCGAATCCATCAAGGATGTAGTTTATTCACCCACGTTTTTGGTGTTCTAGTTTAGCGGTGTTAGTACTTGTTCGTTAAATGCAGAATAGGAAGTGGTAGATAGAGGTTCCTAGTTTTATGTTTATGTTTTAGCATGTTCTAAGAAAGTCAAGACATGAGTTGTTTACCAGCCCACGCTCAAAAGTCATGGATGGAGTAATAGCTTTGTATACTTCTCGATTCTAAAGTTGTTTACCAGCCCACGCTCAAAAGTCATGGATGGAGTAATAGCTTTGTATACTTCTCTATTCTAAAGTTACGGGTGATCAAGTCCGAGGATAGAACTAAAAAATATAAAAAATAATTAAGTAATTTAACAAGCATAGAATACAAAATGAATTAAGAATAAAAAAATTAAAGCTGAAAGAAACTAAATAATAAATACCAACTAATTAAATTCAATAATAAATCCTCCAATAAACCATATCCTCTCATACTAGTAATTAATTAAAATTACAACTTGGGAATCCATCATGTAGACCCCTAATCCAAAACCCAACTGAAAAATAATTAAAGAAAACCAATACTAAAACATAAAGAAGAAATCCTACGTAGAGTCGGAGGAGTGAAAAGACTGTCTCTGCTCAACACGAACAAATTCTAAGTCTGGAACTGACGAACACCTGAAAAATAATGGTGGGTCAGGCCCATAAACAAGTTCTAATCTACTACATCTCAAACAGAGACTCAAAACTCGTATACATTCATAGTTAACTAAAAAATAACTAATATAGTCCGTACACACACACACACACACACACACACACACACTAAGGGAACATAACTAAACTATAGGGTTTCCTCGACCTGAATAGTTGGTAACATGTAAAACACACATATAGTAGGCATGAGTACTTAGACCTATCAGGGCACACAATCATCACTACATCTAGCTACACATCCATGGCAATATACGCATCCTAACTACTGATCCTGAGACTCAAGCTCATATCGTGACATATACTATATATATATATATAATGTCCATCCTATCCAAACCTAAAGTAATCCATCCAACCATATATTTCAATGGTATGTCATCCAACTATTGTGTTGACCTGACAAGAATAAGTAGGACTTAACTCTTTGGTTAATCCGTTTCCTTAAGAATATAAATAGGTAAGACTTAATGTATAAGTTAATTCGTCCCTAATATGCCCCCATCCCATAATAATGTATTAATCCATAACATAACCAAATAAAGGTTTTCCAATCCAAGGATGATGCAAATAATATTTACATTTAATAATCCAAATAAACATGATATAAATCATATATACATCATTTGCATGTATTTGAGCAAAAATAACAATTCTAAGTAGCATGTATGTAATCATAAGAATCTAACATGCATCTCAATTAAATTGTACATCTCTATAATCTAATTAAATTCATTTAAATCTAAATAATTGATTAAAATAATTTAATCCAACTATATTAAATTAATTTAACCTTTTAAATTAATTAAATTCCATACTTAACATGTACACTTTAAATCATGCATTTAAAATCCTCTATAAATCCAATTTAAAAATTTACAAATCATTGAAACAGATTTAATAACATATCATAAGCAGTAGGCAAAAATCCTAAAAACAGTCCAATCCCAGTGCTGAATCGGTAGACTGAAACCCTATTCCGGTCTGCCGATTCAGCCCTATCAGTCGACCAATGGCCTGTACCAGTTGGCCAATAGCCCTACTTAGGTCGACCGAAGCCCTGTACCGGTCGGCTGAACCCTGCGCTGTTCTTCTCCTTCTCAGCGAACTTTCTCCTTCGAACCTCCATTGTTGGAGCTTCAAGGTTTCAATTCAACCTCCCAGAATGTCCCAATCACAACAGTACAGTTCATAAACATAATTTCAATATAAAAGAGCACAATTCATGCATCAATTTTTCAAAACATAGAACATATACATTACATATACATACACACTGTAATTTTCAGATTTTATCATGCAAATTGGTTGAATTAATTTAATTAAATATCTAAAATTAATATAGGTTTGTATAGATTATGAATCAAAGGAGACGAGAAGAAATAGAACTTGCCTTAGGATTTTAGATTAAAACCCCAAACCCTATTCTTCCTTTTTCTCCTTCTTCCTCTTCCTATTTTCTCTCTCTAAACTCTCAGCATCTATCTCTAAAATATATTACGTGAATATTTTATGCCCCCTTTTACAGACCTATATTTATATATATAAAGGCAACATAATTTAACTCTAATCCTTTTCCAAAACCAAGTTTAATAGTGTAAGGAAAAATAATTAAAAGAAAAGGAAAAAGATAGAAAAGGTAACTAATAAACATATACGTATAAATATATATATATATAATCTTTTATATATCCTTTATTAAATATATAAGTCAGATTATCCATAATATTATCAATACCAACGATAAAATAATATAAATAATAAATTACTATCCTTACACACACACACACACACACATATATACATATATAACTAACCATGGGTAATTGTTCGTACCCATTAAACCTCCTATCCAAATAGTCCATGAAATCCAAATGGTTGGTCCATTACTACTATCCATATCTATACAAATAAAAATAAAAATATAAAATAAAATAAAATAAACATTTAATCATTTAATCTACAAATAATTACAAATAAACAAATACATCATTTAAACAAATACATCAATTAAATTACTTAATTCAATTAGACCATTTAAGCACATAATTTATAATTAAATATTAAAAACAATTAAACATGTAATCAAATACCCAAATAATCAAATAAATAAATAAAAATGTAATTAAAATAATTAAAAGAATACCGAGACTATCCTTTTAAAATTATGGGTATTACAATCTTGTTCTAGAATAACATTTATCCTTGGCATGCACGGAAGTAACGAATATATATAATACATATAAGGGATGAAAACAGATGATGCAAATCCATCATTGATGTAGTTTATTCAGCCATGCACGTTTTTGGTGTCTTAGTGTAGTGGTGTTAGTGATTGTTTGTTAAATGCAGAATAGGAAGTGGTAGATAGCGGTTTCTAATTTTATGTTTATGTTTCAGCATGTTCTAAGAAAGTGGGGATACCTACTACATATGTTTTATCTATAAATTAGCATATGCAGTATGCAGAGTAGAGTGTGGTGATTTAGAATCTTTGTTTTTTATAAGTAATATATATTAGTACGCTTCAGTTTTTTGGCTTCCAAAATAGAGCAATGTTTTTTGTCCTTTTTTAATTTCCAACAATAAGAACATAGGAAAAAGGTCAAGCTATTTACAAGACATTAAAAGAGAATGTACGAATCTACACTATTATTAAAATCATCAAAAAATTCAGTATTTTAGTATATTAATTATAAATAACGAAATTCAATAAAAATCAATCTAATTATAGAAAGAAATATATAATATTCAAAAATTTAATTAGATAAGAAAACACATGAATTTTTAAATTTCAATTATTCAAATAAGTTGCTAATTAATTATTTATCAAAGAGAATTTATTTTGATAATTTTGTTTTTTAATTAAGATTATAAAATAATGTAATATCCCTAATTTTTAGAGCATTTATAGTATTTAAATTAATTACTTTATTTGAATTACTTGACTACTTGTGATTATTTAATTATTTATTGTGTTAATTATTTGATTGTTATTTAAATTTAATTCGGTATTTACTTGGTTGTGTGTTTATATGTATTTAATTTGTTAAGTTGCGTGTGATGTGATTTATTTGCGATTAGTTATTTAATTACTTAAGTATATGTGTATTTAATTGTTTAATTGTTTAGTTGTTTGTTTTATTATTTATTGATTTAATTTAATGACAATAGATTTGGGTTATTAGTATTTGGGCCAAAGGTTGGTCTTGGATTATAGAAGAGAAGGTCTAGATGAGCTAATTAAGCTTAAAGGCCTATGTGAGTATTTATTTAATTGTGTTTGTGTGTGTGTGTGTGTGTGTGTGTATATATATATATATATATATAATCTGTTTGTGTTGATACCCATTTTGGCAAAATATTGTGATGGTGATGTGGCAGCCAATTTGGGGATAATGTGACACGTAGGCATGGTGATATTTGACATGGATTGAAATTGGTTAGAGCTATCTGCAAAGATGGAAGAGATAAAAGCATTTGAATTAATTGATGGATAGGGATTATACTGCTTGTAATGATCTTTTAATTGGTTTCAATTAGATGCTAATGGTTATCTCTAGGATTGTTTATTTTGAATGTATAGTCAGTTATTGTATAGAGTTGTGAGGTAAGTGAAGTACTTGAAAGTATGATTTTTTTATTTTTTATTTTTTTTTTATGTTATTTTATAAATAGGTGTAGTAGCATTCTTTGTAAGAGGTCCAACACTCTCAGAATCATAGTTTATATTAAATTTGCTTTCTCAAGCTCTCCCTCTCTAATTCTACTTTCCCTATATAGCAATCTTGCTATTTCTTAATCTCTTTCTATCTTAATCTTCTGTCTTTCTCTTCTCTTATTCTTTTTCCTTATCTTTTTCTTCTTCTCCTTCTATATCTATTTCTTATCCCCATTCTATTCTCACAATTGTTATTATTTATTCACCTTATTAAAGTCCTTTTAACTAAGGCAAATTAAACTCATGAAGGAGTTTATGTTCTCTTTCTCCTATAATCGCCTGAAAGTCAATTTATCAAAGAGACTACAGTTAACAAA